CTGCCGCGCCCCCGGCCGCGCCTGAGTGCGGCGCCGGCCGCGCCGCGGGCGCCGGGCTTGTCGCGGCGAGTGAACAGGCTGCGCTGCCGCTTGGTCGCGGGCCGCCGCACGGCGAATGCGTCCTCGTCGTCCCACCTCGCGAAAGGGAAGTCGATCCTGCTGAGGGGCCGGTGCTGCCGCGCCCCCGCGGCGCGCGCGGCGGCGGCCGGGTGCGGGTGCGGCAGCAGCGCGGCGCTGCGGCGCGCCTTGGCCGGGCGCAGCGCCGGCTGCATGTGCCCCCGCGCCGCCTCCTCGTCCTCCTCCTCGTCCTCCTCCTCGCCTTCGCCCTCATCCCGCTGCTGCCGCAACTGCGGCCCCGCCGGCCCGGCCTTCCGCGGGCGCCCGCGCTTCCGGTTCCCCACGCTAAACCCTCCGGCCTGGGCGCCCGCGCCCTGCGGCCGCCGCGGCAGCTCCAGGGTGCGCATGCGCGAGATGCCGTAGATGCCGATCATGAAGGACCGCCAGTCCGGCTGCTCCTCGCCTGCGGGCCGGGCAGGCAGGCGGCGCATACGGTCAGGGAGGGCAGAGGCCAGGGTTTCAATGCAAACCTGCTCTGGGGCGGGCCGAGGGAGCAGCGGACGGGGCCGCAGCGGCGGCATCCTCTTCAATCCACTCCGCCACATTGCAAGAGCACCCCCTGCTTGGAGCGCCCGGACACACACACTCACATGCACGCACTCATACATAAAGACGCGCGCACACGCACGCACACACACACACACACTCGTGCACACAAACACACACGCGTGCACACCCACCTTCCACGTGCGCCCTCCACGACCGCACCGCGTCCCGCGCGCGCGCCGAGCTGCCGCGCCACGCGTCCAGCAGCAGGTCGTAGGCATCGGCCCCAAACAGGCCCGCCAGCGCGCGGCGCGCCTCACGAAGGTCAAGGCCAGAGTCCAGGACGTCCAGTATGTCAGGGGTCAGCTGCTGTTGCTGCTGCTGCTGCTGCTGCTGTTGCTGCTGCTGCTGGTGGTGATGCTGATAGTGAGACGGCGGCAGCGGGACGCCCGCCGCCGCCGCGAGCGCCGCCCATTGCGCGGCGAGGGGCGCGGGCGGAGGGGCCGAGAGGAGCAGCCCGGGGGGGAGGGGCATGGCGGCGGCGCGCGGCGCGGGGGGCGCGGCTGGGGTGCGACCCGGCGCGGCGGCGGCGGCGCAGCCGCCGAGGCTGAGGGGCTGAGCCAGCTGACTGAGCTGGGGCGCCCGCGCCTGCTGCAACGCAGCATCCGCGGGCAGCTGCCCCTCCGCCGCCCGCGGCGCCTCGCGATCCCAGCCCGCCCCAGCGGCAGAGGGCAGCTGCGCCGCCAGATCCAGCTGCAGATCGTGCTCGTCCGTGTCCATGTCCGCCAGATCCTCCTCCCGCCCCTCCGACTCCCGCCGCCCCCCGGCTTGCCGCGGCCCCTCCAGCCGCTCCCCTGGCACGGCGCCGGCGGGTGCGGCGCCGGCGCCGGGCCCGCCCATGGCTATCTTGAGAGCAGCCGCCAGCTGCTGCGCCTGGGCCGCCTGGCGCGCGTGGTAGGCCGTCATAGCGCCCGAAAAGCGCTCCTTTTCTAGCTTGGCCATGGCCTCGTACGGCGCCTGCACAAATGTTGGCGGGCGTACAAGCATGTAGACGTGCGCACACGTCGCTGGGCGGGCGCATGTGGCTTGAAGGCACCGCGCGGCCCTGGCGTTCCAACCCTACACGGCGTGGCAAGCGCCGCTCTGCGGGCCTCAAGGCGTGGCCCCGTCGAGCGGCCAGCAGCCGTCCACCCCTGGCCTGCGCGCGACCCGCGCGCCCCGCACACCTTGACCTCCGGCGATGCTGCCCGCCAGGCCTCCCCACAGAGCTTCGACGCGTCCAGCGGCGGCAAGGTGGCCGGCAGGCCCTTTCGGTAGTCGGCCTGGAGGTTCGATCAAAAGCGCGGGGCGCGACAGCGACCGTCGTGTTGCCGGTGGTTGCTGTTCAGGGGTAGGGCGCAGGCGGCCCTCCGCGCCACGACGCATGCTTTGTCCTCGTCGCCACCGCCGCCAAGCACGCGCCACGGGGCCCGGAGGGGAGGGGAGCTGGCACGACAGGGCGCGCCCAGAGGCGGGCGGCCTCGGCAGGGGGCGGGGACGGCGGCAGGCGGCGGCGCGTGTGGCTCACCTGGAAGAAGGTGTAGGCATTGATGGGCTTCGGCGGCGCGCCGGGGTCGCTGGCGCGCTTCGTCTTCTTGAGGGGGTGCGGGCCCTGGCGGGAACGCAAGGCCGGACGGGGGAGGGCAGCTGGGGCTACTGGGGGTGAGCAGCACCATGCGCGCTGCCGCAAGAACTGCCCCTGGATTGGATTTCGACTAGCCGGCATGGCTGTGTGCGCCACTCGTTCCTTGGCCACGCATGGCACACACACACACACACACACACACACAATCTCTCTCTCTCTCTGTGTTTAACTATGTCCTCTTTTGCATGCACACACGCACGCGCACACACACAAAAACAAACAGCTGCACATGCAAACACACCACACAGAAGCACCCGCAGCACCGCCTGCCCCATCACGGGCGCGCCGCGCACCTCCTCGTCCGCGCCGGCCCCGTCAGCCTCCGCCCCCGGGTCCAAGCTGGACGCCGGGCTCAGCCCCAGCGCCGCGAGCGCGGAGCGGTTCGCCTTGTATAGCGCGAGCTCCCGCGCGTAGCGGTCGCGGTCGCGCTGCGTTGAGGGATCCGTTGAGGGCGGCGTTGGTTTTATTTTTTGGGGGGACATGGAGGGGACGTGGGGCGCGGGTGGCCAGGTGGGGCCAGGAGATGGGGTTTGTGCGCAGCGCGTGCCGCGAGCCACGCACAAGCTGAACGAGAGGGCAGAGACGCGACGCGGGGGCCCGGCCCGGGCAGCAGGCGCGTTGGGTTGGTGCGCGGGTGCGCGGGTGTGGCCGCGGCCACAAGGGGCCCGCACCAGGCGAGCGCGGGCGCCATGTGGGCCGCCGCAGCCGCCGCCCGGTCCCCCACCTGCGCTATTGCGTCGCAGGCATCGCGCTCCCCCTGGCTGGTGGCCTTCCACATGTGCGCCAGCATCTTCATCATGTCCTGCGCGCCCAGCCCCGGGTTCTGGTCCGCCACAGCGCCGCGGTGGCGCGACATGAACACCTGGTGCGGCGCACGGCGCGAGCGAGGCGCGCGGGGGCAGTTTTGCCGGCGGCGCTAATTTGGCGGGAGGGCCGGCGCCGGGCAGCCGCCAGGATGCGAAAGCGCAGAGGACGGCTGGCGGACGGTGACAGGTCGCGCGGCGCTGCCAGGCGTCGGTGCTGGGTGGGTGGGGGAGGGGCGCGGCCGCACCTGGTACCCCGAGACAGCCTTTTTGGGGGCGTGGGGGTCCTTCTTTCTCCGTTTGAGCGGAAGCCCGCTGCCGCCGAGGCCGGCGGCCCCGCCGCCGCCACCGCCCAGCTGGCCGCCTTGCGCCATCAGCGCCGCTGCCAGGGCCGTCGCGGGCGCGCCGGTGGCGGGCGGCAGCGCGGCGGCGGCGGAGGCGCCGCCGCCGCCGCCGCGCTTTGGGACGGCAAGGACCAGTAACTCCCCGCCGCCCTCGCCGTTTGACACCACGGTGCCCATGGCGTACGTCCCCATCGGCACCCCCAGCGCATCCGACAGCTCTGGGGGCAGCGGGACACCCTGCATCGGTGCGTCTCCTGCGGCATGCAGCAGCTGCTGCTCCTGTTGCTGCTGGTGGTGGTGCTGCTGCTGCTCCTGGTGGTGCTGCTGGGCGGGCACCTGCTGCTGCTCCTGCTCCTGCTGCCGTTGCTGCTGTTCAGGAGCCTGCTGCTGGGATGGCTGCTGCTGCTGCTGCTGTTTCTGCTCCTGCTGCTCTTGCTGCTGCTGCCGTTGGGAGGGCCTCGCTGGCGACCCAGCCTGCTCCTGCTGCTGAGGCTGCTGCTGGGCCGGCACCCGCTGCTGGGGCTGCTGCGGTAGTGGCGCAGGCGTGCCGCGTCCTGCTGCCGCCGGAGACGTGGGCACAGGCGACAGGGCCAGCGAGGCCCCAGGGGGCACCGGCCGCAGCGCAGGCGCCGCGGCGAGCGTGAGGGAGGCGGTCGCCAGCAGCCGCTGCACCAGCTGCTCTGTTGCTTGCGCATCCTGCTGGGCCTCGGGCGGCGACCCGTGCTGCTGATCCCGCCCAACTGAGGGCGGCTGCGTCTGGGGCAGCAGCTGCGCCAGCAGCGGCAGGGGCGGCAAGGGGGGCAGCGGCGGCAGCTTGAAGGGCTGCTGCTGCTGCTGCTGCTGCTGCTGCCGCAGCAGCTGCTGCTGGGGCCAAGCATGGTCAGTCAACGCGTCCGCGGCTCCCGAGTCGTCGGGGCCGCTGCCGCTGCCGCCCGAGCCGTCCTCCTCGCCCTCCCCGCCGTCCGCCTGCCGAGGCGAGCGCGCGGGAGCGGGCGCCCTTAGCGGCGGCTCGGGTTCAGCCGCGGCGAGCCTGCGGCGGGCGCGTGCGGCGCCGGGATGGGTGCGGCGAACGCGGGGTTTCAACGCGGCAGCCCTTGGCGCATGCGCACAAAACCAGCAGAGCGGGATGCATCACGCGCATGTCTGCGCAGCGGGCTGCGGCTGTGGTTGCGGCATGCGCGTGCATGTGCAAGCGAGCAGGTGCGGCAAGCAATGCCAGCGCTCCGGCGACGCGGCAGACAGGCACTGACCAGCCCCTTCCGCTTGTTTGGCTTGCCGGCGGGGCCAGGCTCGTCATCAACATTGTTCTTGCCCTGCAAGATTAGTAGCGACACAGGGGGGGCAAGGAGTCACAAAGATGCCAGCTGGCATGTTGGCAGTGGCTGCGCTAGCTGCCTTGGAGCCTGACGGGCGTGGTGCTGGTCTGGTGCACGCCCATGCAGGTGCACGCCCATGCAGGGACATCCCATGAGCCTGGATGGCTCCAGAGGCAGGCGTCCGTAGCAGCTGCAATGATCCTCATCCATATGTAAAGGTGTGTGCATGTGTGCAAGAGGGCTCTTGCAAACAGCATGCTTGCAAGCAGCATGCGCGTTAAGCGGCAAGCGGCTGATTCTGGAGGCGAGGCGGCTCACCAGGTACCGCTTCAGGTAGTGCCGCGTGCTAAGCAGGTTCAACTCCTTGGGGGAAGCTACCTGGAAGGTCCCAGCGGTGGCCGCAGCAACGCTTTCAGCTGGGGAATGCAAAATGCAGGCCGGCCATTGCGCGACTGCCGAGGCGGCGCCCGAAATCAAGGAAAGGCTTCTCCACACGGTGCACGTGCGTGTCCGCCCTCCCCCCAAGCGCCGCCACACACCTCCCCGTCTGCCCAGGTCTGGCTGGGCTGGATCAGCTTCCAGTCTTCCCCGTCCCAGATCCTCGCGCGGCGGATGAGCTCGCGCTGCGCGTGACATAGGCAGGGAGGCACGGCGAGGGGAAGAGGGGTGGGGGGAAGCCCAGGGGTGAAGCTTGCAGCGTGGAGCCAACAAGGCAGCGCCACTCCTCATGCAGAAGCGGTGGCGCGACCGCAGGGTCACGGCACACCGCGCCTCCGCGCCGCCCATCGCCACCAGCCCGCGGCAGGGCGGCGCGTTTGGTCGCAGCCACCTTAATGGTCTCGTCCGGCGCGTCGTGGAAGGGGTACTTGACCTGCAGCCCGGGGCGAAGCGCAGTGCATGCACACGCACGCGATGTTGCGGGCGCGGCAAACACTCAGGTGGCAATGCGTCCTGGGGTCGTGCCGGTTGCAAGCTGGCGCCGCTCGCCACATCGAAGGGCAGGCAACCCGGCCCCTCGACTCAGGGCACCAGGCCGTCAAACCAAACATGCGAGCCCCCGGGGTGACCCTGCAACGATTGCCTGAGACGCGCCATCATCGGATGCGGGCCCGCAGCCTGTGCCGACGCCCTCATGCTGCCCCTCCTTTTCCCTGGCTGCCCACCAGGTAGCCCTCCTTGAGCACTCTGTCCACGTAGCCCAGCCAGGCACAGGGGTCAGTCTTGCTATTGTTGGACACCTCCACAAACTCCCCGACCTGGGCAGCCAGGGGAGACCGCAAGAGTCCAACACACGGGCTTGGCCTGGAGCCAGCAGGGCGGGACTCCCGAAGCCTCTAGCCAAGTAGGACGCCGGCGCCCTCACCCTGGGCGCTGTGGGGCCGCGGGCCCGCCCGCATGCACGCGGCACACTGCTGGCTACCGCCGCATGCGGGGCGGCCCGCGCGCCTCACGCGCACGCTGCTCGTGCTCCAAGCGTAGGGCCTCCCGTGGGCGGCAGTGCGACGCACCTGCAGGTCTTCCACCTCGTGCCCAAAGTCCACGGGCACCTCGTATGGGAAGATATTTTCGCAGTTGACCCTCTCCTCGTCCTCGTTGTCGTACCGCACCGTGAAGTGGCTCTTGCCACGCGCGACGACGGCCGCCGGCCAGAACGCGCCGCTGAAGCCGGTGCGGTTCTTGTCGCGGGTTGGGGGCCACCAGACGCGGACCTGCATGGAGGGGGGGGAGAGGGGGCCTCGGGAGTGAGCGAGGTCGCAATGGGGCACGGGCGTGTGCAGGGCGAGGTTTTGAAAAGGGGGGGTGCTGGGCGCCCATGCAGCGTAATGCGGATTTCTGCCTGCTACCGCCGCCACTATGCTGCAGGCGTTACCCACAGCACTACAAGGAGTGCGCTGCACAGCGCTTGGGTGTGGCGCGGTCGGCGTGCTTTGCTCTCCGCGCCCAGCCAGGCGGCAGCGTCACGGTGGGCTTGAGCACTTCAGTGAAGCAAGATTTTCACAAAGCTCTAACAGGCCAGGTGCCTCATATACGGTGACCTGAAGTGCGTCGTGACAACCAGATCACTCGCAGCCCAGTCGCGGCCCCAGCCTGGGGAGGCTCTCACCCGGTCCGGCGTACGCTGACGCTGAGCAACCGAAGCAATATCAGGCTCTTCCTCGCCGAGGTCGGCTGCTGGTCTCTTGGCAGTCCCAGTGCGCAGGGGGCGGTCAGACCGGGCCGACGCCATGGAGTTCACAAGTCAACGTCCATGCAAACCGCGATCAGCCTACTGAACAAATGTCAATGGGGCAGCTTGGTCTTGTTGTGCTGCCACAAATTCTGAATGATCTCGTGGCGCGTGACCCGTTGAAATCATGCCGCTTTACTCACGCTTCGCATTGATTGAAGCCTAATCTGCGTCCGCATCCAAAAGGCGTACTCGTGGCCTTAGCTGACCATGCGCTTGTCAGCGGCAGGGTCACGACAGACCCTCTCACTGAGAGCCTTACCCCAACCCCTTCTTGTGCCCATGCCCTGTGGCCCGGCACCTAGGCCAAGAATAGCGGGTCCACATTCCTGTCGCGGTACATCACCAGCCGCGCCCGTTCCTGCCCCAGGGCGGCAAACCACTGCGGCACATAGGGCGCCGCCCACACTGCGTCACCAGCACGGACAGGGTACCAGCCGTCGCCCAGTCGGATGATGCCCTCTCCTGACAGTAGCAGCAAGCCATGGTTATTGTAATTTCCTTTCTGTGGGGTCCACGGTGGTTTCAAATAGCAGGGAAGGGTGGGAAGTCAGGGGACGATGATGGCTTGTCGTGTGCGAGCCCAGCCCCAGGGCAATGAGAGCAAGGCCATGCACAGAAAGCAAGGCCCTGCATGAGTCGAATGTCACAATCAGAAAAAAAGTGATGTGGCCGTTGCCACGCCCCACACCAGCCAGCCGCCCACCACTTCGGGCGGCGAGGCTCCTGGCTTGACGTCCAATACCAAGACGTCGAAGTCCCACTCGTCGCTGTCAGGCAGCAGGCGGCGCTGCACGGTCGCGCCCGCGGGGCCCGCAGTGATGGCGTCCGGCAGGACGTCGTCGACGGCGCCGTGCTCAAACCCAGGCATGCCCTGGGTCGGGCAGGGCAATTTCAAGAAGGGCGCATAGTTTATCCCGGCCGGATATCGTGCATATCAGCGAGTCACTCCATCGGCGCTGCTTGATGGGGTGCGTGGTGCGACGCTGCCTGTCGTTGCAGCCATCATGTTATTGCAGCCATGACAAGCAGCTGCCAGTATGCGCGCACCTCTGCCTTTGCGAAAATGCGTTCGTACACCAGCAGCTTGGCACCCCCCTCGGACGTCACGCTTTGGGGGCGAGGAAGGGAGCAGAGCAACAGGCCCGTAAGCTGTTGAGCCTCGTTTCAAATTGTGCAAAAGCGTGGTACTTCATCAAGATGCGCGCTCAAACTTGACTCAGCGCGCATCTGTCTGTGATTGCGACACTTGAAACCACGGTCTCCAGGTGTGCGTCTTACGTTTGTGAAAGGTACTCTTCCGAGGCGGGCGGCAGGTACGCATAGTGGTTGCTGCTGACCTCCACCTCGTTGTCGTTGACGTCAATCTCCAGCTGCCCCGTCAGCACCAGCATGAACCTGCAGTTGTGGTTGCGTGGTTGTTTCCGCTGCAGCAGCGCAGCAGGCCGGCTCCACAAGCTACGCTGCACGCATCAACAACGGGCAGAGCCTGCTCGGGCCCAGTTGAGGACGGTTGCGCCACAACTCCCCCCCAATGGGTGGGGCACACCTCTCTGTAATGGGCGTCTTTGGTGGTGCAGCCGAGCCGGGGGCCATGTCGACGAGGTACATCACAAAGTTGGCGCCCTTGGCGGGGTGCATCAGGTATGACAGCCGCGCGTTCTGCCTGCAAGCGGCGTTGCGGGGGCGGCACGGCGTGGTGCACGCGAGAGGGCGGGTAATTTACGGAGCGCGTGCTCAATAGCATGAGGCCAAACAATTGTTAGGTACGAAGTCGCTTGCTTGCAAGACCAAAATGTTTGCCCGAGTGGAGCTGGTTCCGCACGTTGATGATGCAAGGTGCGCCTGCATGCAGACTTCACCAAGGGCAGGCACCCCGCATGGCGTCCACCGCGCCAGCACTGACACACGTCCCAGGGTACACCTACCAGCCCGCATTCGTCGTCCAGGTGCGGGTGGTACTGTCCATGACAGCGTGGTCGCGCCTTGACACGCTGCGCGTGCTGAGGTCTGCGCCCATTGGCCGCGGCGCGCCGGGGAGAGCGTTGGTGGGCCAGCGTTGCCTGATCAAGCACCTTGGACACCGCATGCAGTGCAATGAGGCCACTTGTTTCGCACGGCCGAGCGGATGGCTTGCAGTCGCACGCAGTATGCAGGCGCTCTTAGCCCGGCACGCTCACTGTCAAATATGCTGCCGGTAGAGGGGCTTGCAGAGAACACTGCTGAGTAATTGCTTGGCCCCGTCAGAGCTGGCGCACTGCTGCATTGGCCGATGGCATCACCTATACACAATGGCGGGTTTGCGCTGGACGTGGCTGGGGACCGGCAGTAAAATGCTGTGTGAGTGCAGCTCTGCCGCCGGCACAGTTGCGCGGGTGGGCGGTTGCTGCAAGGTGCTATCGCGCCAAATCGCCGCCGCAGCCTGGACACTGCGTGATTAAGCAGGCCTGCCCCCACGCATGCGCATGTGCGGATACAGGCGAGTGCCCTGCTGGCAACCATCACCACTGCCATGCTGCTCGCGCATGCCGGGGGTGGTGCGATGCCGCACCTGCTGCTGCCAGCACAGCAGGCAAAGCGAGGAGGCACAATACAGATAGCTTCATCTGTTAACCCCCAGAAGCGATTGGATCAGCTGAATTTCAATGTTCACAAGGATGCTGCGAATGTGATCAGGACAGTGGGATCTATGATCATAACCGCTTGCAACTTGCAAGGTTGGTGCTATCGCACGAACGATGGCCGTGATATGATATTGTATATGTCCACGCGGTGGTCACCAGCGAAGAGACAGCTTGAATTTTGACATTCCGGACCTACCGTAGATTAGTATGAGCAGTTGCCGGCAGTGTTTGCATCGCTGGATCTCTTGCAATTGTAAGGGACACCGTACACCCCTGCTTGCTACCAGGCCGATTGGCAGCATCACGAACAGGGCGAGCCGGTGACAAGCAGTTGGACTTGACAGAGGCATGCAATATGCACACGCCACAGTGCCACGGGCTTATAGATGTGCCCAATGAATTTGTTGGGTTCAGCTGGTTGCTGTCAGCCACTTAGAATTGTGCGCAATGTGGGGCGTGAAGAGAGTCAAATGGGGCAACTACCAAGTGCTTTGATGTTGCACGCCGCTTTCGCATACATGCAATGGGCACATAACTGCTCCGCCCACTTCGCACTTATGGACGTTAGCATTGATGGTTCAAGTGAGTTTCTGTAAGGTACGCATCTGGTGCCCAGGACCCAGCTGCAGGCTGCACACGAGCGCACGCGCGCGCGTACACACACACACACACACACACACACACACACACACACACACACACATGCACGCGCGCAGGCGCAGGGAAAACGCCATCACTTGCATTTTTACTCTCCCTCCTATGATCATCCCAGCCATACAATGCTGCCCAAGCGCCCCCGATAAAACATCGAAAGCTTGAAATCATCCCTTGCTGTGCAACAAGTCTACAAAATCTGGGCCCTGTCCAACTGGACGCCACGCATACAGTGGGCAACCGGCAGCCTGCCTTGCGGCAGCAGCCAAAGTGGGAGGCGGTTTTCATGCGTTCCCCAGCCCGTCAGAGGCCGTGGGCAGCACAGACAATGGGGTTGGACCAGGGGGCGTCTCTCACCATCGCAAAGTTCGACCCCAGCCATAATCTGAATACCAGGGGGCCCCGCAGCAGTCAAAACCAAGGACTGCAGGCAACACAAATTCTAACACCAGGCATGCAGAGCCAAATATACGGCGACATCTAGCCGATGCAACGGCGCCCAAAGCTGAGGGGCCCCGCTCACTCACCCCCAAGCGGCCGGCCGGCAAAGAGCTGTGCATGCAGCAGTGCATGGCGATGCATCATCATGCGTCGGTGACAGTGCTTGGCATTTGTTGATAATGTGGCGACCCACGACGTGGGGGCGGCAGCAGCAGCAGCCCACCAGCATACAATCCCGCCCCATTGGCCGCTTCTGTAGCTGTGATTAGCGCACAGGGATGCGGCACTCCTTCTGATACTCGTCCGCAGTCGCCCCCGAGCCCAGCCGCTTCCTCAAACAATCCAAGCACGAAGCGGCGGCCTTGTCGCCCGCGGCGCCGCCCGCCGCGAGCCCCGCGCATGCGCCGCACCAGCCCTTGGCGACCGACAACACCCGCGGGTCCGCGTTGCAGGCCACGCACGCCGGCTCGCGCGGCGCGCCGACGCACGCGGCGCACGAGCCGAGCGGCGACGCTCCGGCGTCCTCTGGAGGCTTGAGCTTCGAGGCGGCGACGCAGCGGTAGCACCTGGAGCGCTCGTGCTCGGCCCCGAGGCCGAGGCAGTCGCCGCAGTCGGGGCCGCTCTCAGGGCGCGAGAAGCAGGACAGGCACGAGGAGTAAGCGCCAGCGTCGGCGCCCGCGCGCGCACACGCGCCGCAGGCCCGCGCGGCCGCGGCCGCGGCTGTGGGGGAGGCGGTGCCCTTCGCGCCGCTGCGTCGCACGCACTGCAGGCAGCGGCCGCGCTGCGCCGCGCTGAGGTCGGCGCCGCTGCAGGCGCTGCACTGCTCCCGCGCGGCTGCGGGCGTCCTCTGGTCCACCACGCACGCGAGGCACGCGTCGCGCGCCGCGCCCTTTGGCGCCACCGAGAAGCACCCGCCGCAGCCGCTGCCGCCGGCGCCGCCACGGGCGGAGGGTGCGGCGCGCGCCTCGGCAGCGCAGGCGAAGCACCGCTGCTGCTCGTCCGCAGTTGGGAGCCCGCCGCAGGTGTCGCAGTCCGTCGAGCTGGTGGGGCGCAAGTAGCATTTGACGCAATGATCGTAGGCTTTGGGGCTCTTGGCGACGGACTGGCAGCGGGCGCAGGGGTTATCGGCGTCCGGAACTGCGTGGCGGCGCGCGTGTGGTGGATATGGGTGAGCTGGAGATGCTGCTGCCGCAAAACGCGAGCTGTAGACTCCATCTTCCCTGGCAGCAGGCTGGGTCCGTGGTTGGCGCTGGAGGCGGGCAACAAGGCAGAACAGGGCCGGCCGACACCACCCCGCTCCCGACTTTGAGGTGGACCATCAACCTGCGACTCCATCCCTTCTCAGGGGCCCCACCCCTGTTCACGTTGTGGGCGCGGCCCCACTCCGCGTCGCCGCTCCTCACCATAGCAGTTGTCCCGCGTGCTGGTCTTGCACGTGAGGGCCGGGTAGAAGCCGGAGAGGCAGGAGCCGCACTTGGCCGCATCCCTCGTCAGCGCACACGTGACGCACGGCGGCACGAACCGCTTGCCGCGCGCCTCCACGCACGCGATGCAGCCGGGCACTGCGGCGGGCGGCACGAGGCTGGGGGCGCCCGGGAAGGCGACGCAGCTGACGCAGGGCTTGCGGCTGGTGACGCAGGAGAAGCAGCTGCGAGCAGGTGGTTTTTGTGTGAGGGGCAGGAAGAAAAGTCAAGTGCCAGGTGGCGATGAAGAGGGTGTCAAGGGAAGGGTGATTTCAGGGCGAAAGCAGAGGAGTCCAGAGTGATCGACAGGGCGCCAGCACGGGCGTAGTGGCAGCTGCCCTATTGCACGGACGGGTGGCCAGGGCAGGACGACGCGCACCGTCGCCGCGCGCCGCGCCACGCTCCCCTCACCGCCACGCACGTCCTTGAACATCACCCCATCCATACGCACATACACACGCATTACGACGCTGTGCACCACCCCCCTTCCCTCGCAGGCCCTCATCGCCTCCAACCCCGTGGCACGCCGAGCCACTCACGCCGACCGCCCGGCGGCGTCCCCGACCGCCGCGCACGTCGCGCACTGGTCCAGCGCGGTGTTGCCGGTCGAGCCGGCGGCGGCGCCCGGGGCCAGCAGCAGCAGCAGTTCGGCCCTCTTTGGGGAGACCCGGGGGTCTATGGCGCACGCGACGCACGCGGTCGGCCGCGGCGTCGCGCGGCAGGCCGCGCACGCAGCTGCGCTAAGGCCGGCGCAGGCTGCGTCGAGCGGCGGCGGGCGGCCGGTCACCCAGCCCTCGCCATGTACTGGGGGGTGATCAGGGCATGCAGGGCAGAGGGGGGATGTGATGATCAGGGTTTCGGCTGGCGTGGGGCACTCGGCCTAGCGGCAAGGCAGCTATTGCAGGAGCGCCTTGCTCACCAAAGCCATCGCCGCCGATGCCGCTGCCGCTGCTGCGCCGGCTGCTGCGCCGGCTGCTGCGCCGGCTGCTGCCGCTGCCGCCGCCAACGACCTTGCTGCTGCTGCTGCTTCCATTGATCAGGTCTCCTGAGCCGAACAGGCTGCACATCCCTTGCGGCCACTTGTCCTGCTGGCCTGTTTGGCAGCCCGTCTTGCCGCTGGCGGTGGAGAGGTACGGCCCAAAGGTCAGCAGTGGAAGATTGGCTGATCGGGGCGAGCCTGCGTCCGACCGCGCTGGTTTCCCTGCGCGAAGCAGATGGCAGGCGCGACGGATAAGCAGGGACGAGCGAGGATGGAAGCCTGACGGGCCCACAAATTGGTCACTCTCGGTCGCACGCTTGTCGCGAAGTGTGCAGGGGGGGGCACAAAGCAACAGCGGCACCATGCAAGCTGCGCTCCGCTGCTCACCAGGGAGTGCGGCGACATGGGCGCCGCAGCCGCTGCCGCAGCCGCCCGGCAGCCCGCAGAATGCCCAGGCCGCGCAGCCGGGCAGCCGAGCGCAAAGCGCCTGGCACTCCGCGCGCGACGCCATCGGCGCCTTGGGCGTGCCCTTTGCGGGGCCCATGCTGCTGACTGTGCTCCCGCCGCCATACGCAGGCGTGGGTGCCGGGAATAGGGAAGCTGCGTCCAGGACCAGCAGCAGGCCGGTGCCGCCAGATGCCGCTGCCTGGGCGAGGCTGGCAGCGCAAGTGGCTGCGGCGCGCGCGGCGCAGCGAGTAAGAGCGCGCGAGCGGTGTATCAGCCAATGACGAGCCTAGATTGGCAAGGCAGGGCTTGAAGCGTGTGGCCGCAGCAACAGCTGCGCCACGCGGGACTCGTCACGCGCGCGCGCGCCCAGCAGCGTCCAGGCGGTTGGTGGCAACGCAATTGTGAGGCGGGTGACCACCGGTTCCTGAGACTCACCTAGAATCATCCAGCGATGCGCCACCAGATGTAGCCGCGCAACATCGCGCATCAGTGAGGTCACTCTGATCTCGTGGCCTTTCCCGCCCCTTGCGTCGGCAGCGAGAGCTTCCAGGAGCGTGAAATACTGTGTGAGAGAGTGAAGTAATCAAAGTCGCGCCCTCGCGCGTGGCGCTGGGCTGCTCGCTGGCGTGCTTGAAGAGCCTCGATGTCAAAGCCAGGCCGGTCCCGGTTCCAGAGTTTACGATAAGGTAAACTCAGCTTGTTCAGTGTGTGCTCGGTACGACAACTTGATCAGAGGCTTTGAATTGGTGCGTCGCCCCATCGATCAAACACGCTTGCGTGGCGTACTGTACGGCAGGCGGGAGATGACATGGCGCAGGTCTGGGATGGGCTACATGTCGCCTGAGCAACGCAAGCAGCAATGTCGACAAACAAACGAACTGTCTTGGCCTGACGCCGGGTTTGCGACGGCGGCTGTGGCACCCCTTCCCCAGACGTGGCGCGGCCTTCGCGGGCAGGGTTGCCATTCAGGCACCAAGTGATGCAGAGATGGCGGCGCCGCTTGGTCATTATTGTTTTGGCTGTCGGCGCGGCCGTCTGAGCAGTCTGTCTGGCATGCCGTCAGTTGTGGCAATGCTGGGTAGACCTGAACCGAACACGAAGTCGGCAGGATTTCGCCCGCGGTGCTTTTCAGGAGACATTGCATTCAACACAATGCGGGGCTACTGGCCCAATCAGCTGGGTGACACCTGAATGAAGCGCCTAGGTCGCCTCCACCTTGCAGGGCGCACCGCAATGGCAGTCACCTCGTGCCCAATCGCGGGTGGCGCGCATGTGGCATCTCTAGTCACCCAGGCGGATGTGGATGCAGCTGCCACCCCTCGGCCACACCGGTACTTGGATCAGCTGCCACTTGACCCCTGCGTTGGTTTCAGCGACTTCATGTATATCTGCGGTGATTGATCTTGAGGGTGTTGCTCCTCGAGGCAAACTCAGGGCCGATTGCGGGTCAAGCTGTCCAGAGGCCTGGTTAACAGAGCATTAGTTTGGAAGAAGTGTACTTCGTTACAAACGGCCGGCAAAAGGCCACCACTTCCCACAACTGTGTGGAGTGTTGCTCTGGACGCGTTGAGCATGGGGCGCACCCCGCGAGCAGGCGATGGAAGCTCTTCTGGTGGAGAGGATGCCGCCATGGGGCTGGACGATAAGGCTGCGATCAGGTGTGCCAGGCACTCGAGTGAGAGGGCCTCCTCCGAGGCGCATGACCTCCTGAACCCCGGAACGAGGCCCCGGAATTGCTCTCGACAACTTCAGCCCTTGCTCTGACGGCATGCGCTGTGGCTCCGCGCTCGCCAGGCGCCTGAAGAACAGGGAGGCCGCCAAGCGTGTGCGCGAGCGCCGTGTGAATGCGATCAAGACGCTTAGCGATCAGGTGGGCGTCCCTAGTACGGCGGGAGGAGCATGAGCGCGTTTGCAGCCGCATGGCACGGATATGCCCAGGCGAGGTACACGACCGAGCCCGCAGCGGGCGTCTCGCGCACACTCCGCCCTTCAAACCGCCTGACTCCCCCCCCCTCCTCAACACAGCAACTTCCATACCAACCCCCGACCGCCAGGTCGACATCCTCACCGCCGACAACGAGCGCCTGCGCACGGCCCTGGCGGCGCTCAGCGCCGGCCAGGCCCCTCTGGCGCCGCTGGAGGACCTGCTGCAGGCGCCGCCAGACCTGCCGTCAGAGGCCACGGATGTAATCAATAAGATCCGGCTGACGGACGACAAGGTGAGGGCAGCAGACACCAACAAAGATGTCAAATCATGAAATAACTTGAGGACTCGCGGCAGGGAGGCCATGATTGCATCACAGGATGGTTGCGGGGGGTCGCAGTGCTGACGGGCCTGCGGCGCTGCCGTGGGCCAGCTCTGCCGAGTTGCTAGCCATCGCAGCTGTACCGAGCCGTCGTGTATACCTGACGCGTCGGCGGATGCTCGCACGCATTGGTCCGCAGGAGGGGGTGCGGACGGCGGTGGCGGCCGTGGCGGGGGCGCCTGGCCACCCTGCAGCTGCTGGTCCTTCGACCCCATCCGCGGCCAGCGGCCCCTCGTCGAGCACCAAGGCCTGCGGCACCCAGACAGGTGCGTGACGGCCGGCACGCCCGCCTTTGCAGCCCGCCGGCCGGACGGCGCGCTCTTTGTGCCGCAGGCCGCTCGAGAAGACAGGCCCATAACTCGAGCGCGTCGGCCCCCTCACCTCTCCCCCCATGCTCCCGTGCCTCCAGACCCCGTAGAGCCCCCGCGGCCCCGGCCGACCGAGCTCATCCGCAGCCTGATGACGTCACTGCAGCAGCAGCACAGGGACATGATGGCCACGCCCGGGGTGGTGCCGGCCTCCACGATGGAGCAGCTGCAGGCGATGATGGAGCTGCAGCTGTGCGTGCAGCAGTCTATGGCGGCGCTGATGTCACAGCAGCAGGCCGCCATGCAGCAGCAGGTCATGCTCGCAGCGGCGGGGCCGCAGGCGGCAGCAGTCGCGGCCCAGCAGCCGCAGCAGCAGCGAGGGGGCTCGGCGGCGTCCCCGGGGGGCTCTGGGGGGCAGCAGCAGGCGGCATCGGTGCAGCTGGCGCAGCAACAGCAACTCCAGCAGCAGCAGCAACTTCAGCAGCAGCAGCAACTCCAGCAACAGCAGCAGCTGGAGTTGCAACTCCAGCAGCAGCAACAGCAGCAGCAGCTGCAGCAGCAACAACAGCAGCAGCTGCAACAGCAGCAGCAACAGCAGCAGCAGGTGGCGCAGCTTCAGCAGGCGGCACAGCAGCAGCAAGCAATGGCCATGCTGCAGCTGGCAGCGATGGGCGTCGGTGGCATGCAGGGGATGCTGCCGGGTGGGGCGCAGCAAACGGGGGCTCGCAGCACTGCTGCTCCATGGCAGCAGCACCAGCAGCAGGGGCAGCAGCACCAGGCCCAGGCGCAGGCGCAGCTTAACATGCGGCAAACGCCAGGGCTGGTGCAGCAGCAGCAGCAGCAATGGCGGGCTCAGCAGCAGCAGCAGGCGCAACAGCAACAGCAGCAGCAGCAACAGCAGCAGCAGCAGCAGCAACTGCGGTACCAGGGGCAGGCCGTTGGGCAGTCTCAGGGCCGCATGTCGCCTCAGGACCTCGCCTGGGGCCCCCCTCCGCCAGTGCGCGCGCAGCAGCTGGGCTTGGGGCTCGTCAAGGTGGAAATCGACGCGGCTGCGGCTGCCGCGGCGGCGGCGGCGGCGGCGCAGGGCACCAAACACTCGCCTTCGGGCCCGGTGTCGGCGTCCGACCAGCCCGCCACCAAACGCGTGGCCGGGCCATCTAATGATGGCGGGCCGCAGCAGCAAGCAGCAGCACAAGGCAATCGGCAGCGCGCCGCCGGCGCCGCAGCCGCCGCGTCACGCGCGCCGGGGGCCGCCGCCGCGCCCGCGACGGCGC